TTATTCTAAAAAAATTTTTTATTAATTACAAACTTTTATTTCTAAATATCACTTTATCAAAACATAAATTTATGTATAAAACTCTTATACGACAATGAAACGAACGAAAGACATTTATGCTTAGGCACTTAGTAGTTTACTTAATATAGCGATAAAAATATATATAAGGATCGTGTTACTGTAATGGGAGCTCAAATCTTTTGCGCCGCTACAATGAGCTTGTTTTACGAAATCGTTAATGATATCAAGATAACCTGGTACTTTTTGAAAATGATGAACTTCGGCTTGTAAATGTTGTGTTGCTTCCTGTAAAAAAAAAAATTATATTTGCATTTGTTTTTAATAGTTCGTATTAATCTGTATTGAATAATCATTGATTTACATGAATCCTCATCCCCTTATAAAATTTTACGTTATACATTTACAATGTGCGATTATTGCTCCTGGATCGATCAGATTTTGGCAAGAGTCAAAGCTGCGGAGAAACCGGAGAAAAAAAAACGTATCTACGTAGATCCGATCATAATAGTTCATGGAGGAGCGGGAAAAATTCCACGAAAAAAACATGAACGTATGCTTTTCGAGGTTTGAAATTATTTATTTGACTATATTTTTGTAAGAAATATATGCTCAAACTGCATTCTATTGGAAAAATACGAAGGTTTTCGCCAATTGGAATAGGTTAAAAATGCGGCGATTGAGGCGTATAGTGACCTTATCAACGGTCGATCAGCAATAGACGCAGTAGAGAGAGCAATTTCTTACATGGAAAGCAAACCGCTTTTTAATTGCGCGAAAGGAGGTTGTTTGGACGTTAATGACGAGATAGTCACGGATGCTGCTATTATGACAACACGCGATGCTGGGTGCGTGGGCGCCGTACGTGACATAGAACACCCTATCTGTTTAGGTCTGTTTTACAAAGCAAGTCAACGTACATATTTTAAGTTATTTGAAATTTCCAATTCAAATAATTTTGAGCGCTATAGCGATATCTAAATCGAAGAATTTACATAATATACAGCAAGAAGGGTATTAGAGAACACGAAGCATGTGTTAATCGTTGAAAAGGGTGCGCAAAAATTAGCGTTGGATAATGGAATCCCGATTTTACCGCCGGGTACTTTGAACATATGTGAATCTTTACCGTCAAGCATGTTTGAATCCATGACATGTTGCACGAATGAAGGAGAATACGATGGAACTGAATGGAAAAATGACATCGACGATGAAAAAGAAGAATGTGATCCAGACTGTGTTATAAAACGATCTATAGAGGGAGAAGCGTATCCTTATTGCGCATTATCGACTGATTCTGATTTATGGGATGAACCAACAATTTTACAGGTGTCGTTTTCGTAGTATTCTTTTTGCTATATCTCACAAATCAATCCTTTGTCACATAGTATTACGTAATAGCAGCATCGTGAAGCAACAAGTAACAATACTTACTTCTTACTTTCAAATTTCTTATGAAATTCTATTAATTACATAACGATCAAGAGACGTAACGAACAATAGAAAATGGAATTAGAATATATTGATATTAGGCTGGTGCAGTTGGAGTAGTTGCATACGATCGAAAAAAACGACTCGCAAGTGGCACTTCGACGGCGGGAGAACCGGGAAAGCCGATTGGTTCTGTTAGTGCAATTGGCACTGTGATTGGTTGCGGCATTTACACAGACGAATATGGCTGCACTTCCATTTCCGGAAACGATATGAGTATCTACTGCTATGCACCAGCACGTAGAATAATTAACAAGCTGTCAGAAAGGGAACCGATTAACTGTGCAGTAAACACAGTGTTACAAAGTTTCGAAAAAGAAACTGGAACATCTGATATAGGCGCCATTGCATTAGACGCAAAAGGCGAACCTTGTGTTTCATTTAAGTGCATGCATTTCCCATGGGCTTTCTGTCGGAAGGGTTACGTTTATTACGGGCTAGCACAGAATGAAAAATATTGGGAAAAAGTAACTATACTCGAACGACCTCTAGACTGCATGTGCATAAGTTCCGACGAAGAATAAAAAAATAGAATGTACATATATATGTCTAGTTTTGATAATAATATTAATATTCGTACGTATAATGTTATTATTATTTTACTAATATCTTCATTAATATTATGTTCTCACGTACCGGGAATATAATGCTACTATTTGAATCGTACATCCCATACATCGAGAACGCCGGCGTTTCACCTTGGAATGTGACGCCGAAAAGTTTGTCCATTTCCAATAGCATCAAGTAGATCTCTTCGCGTCTCAAGCCCGTCATATTTTCGCTCGCTACCACCTGAAGATTATACCCCAAATTTAAAGGCAATTCTAACGAATGTTATTATAGAATTATTATTATTGAAATTACCGCGCTCAACGGAGCCCACGTAAGCAAGCATACTTCATTCGTGTCAACTTCATTGAAGCATAACGTTCGATACTGCTTCATCCTCGATACTTCGTCTTGCTGAGCGGCACGATTTTGCGCTAAACTAGCTAAGATAGGATAATAGGAGATTTAAAATACAGCACGTAGGAAAAAGTACGATCTTGCGTGTATCGACAATTATGAAAGTAAGAGAAATTTTGGAAATTCGCTAATGAATTATGAATTTCTAAAATTTTTAAGAAACGTTATTTATTTACCAGTTTTTCCATCGATGCCCTTCAAGTCGACAAAAGCGACATCTCCACGGCCAGACATCATACATTCGAAGGCAGCGGTATCATCTCCAACTCCGTTCGCTGTGAATCGTATCCTTGTTTAGTCTATATTTACAACGCGACATTTGACGTGTTTATTGCCGCGTTACATGTACACACCTTGTTTAGTCAACGGGTATAAATTACACGGCATTTGTCCGTCGCTGTCGCTCAGACCGACAATGAAGCTCTCCGTGAAGAAACCGGCAACCGCTTCCGTATCGGAACAATGTGTGCTTCCACACGAGATGTTCTTCAAGGTGGCCACGAAACTATTCCATCCTGCAATGAAACTAACGATCCTTAACCAATTTTTTTCCACCGAAAACACTCCTCGATAGTACGTATGTTTCCTTCTTTTTTTTTAAATAGTATTTTTAAAAAAGTCTTTTCTCTCTATTTGCTTCGAAATATTTCAGGCGACGGAAATTGTATCCATACCCACGTCTCTAAATCCCGTGAAACACGCCTTGGCGCCTTTCAAGTCTTTCAAACTCTTGATCCACGAATCCTGTTTCACGACAGCTGCGATCCTGATAAATTCGTTGTTCCTCCTTGGTACCGCCTGCACGACCATTTTCAGACCCATCCTAAAGTTGGAATTTACCGGTAGAGCAAGTATTCTTTCTTCTTGCGAACTTGTGCAAATTTTCTCACCTTCTGGCATCCAACAGTTCCTCTGGCCTCGCGACGAATATGTCCGCACGCTCGGTTGTAGCAGCCTTTAAACAAGATTCCCGGCTCAATTCCTGGATACAGGCAATCGCTGGCTCTACACCGTAAACGATCGAAGCCTCTCTCAACCATCGACACTTGTTCTCCTCTAGATTCGACGAGACGCACCATTTTACTCTTCTCGACGGATGACACGATGAGCGATAGTTTGCGCTCATGAATCGCGGAACTACGATCAAATGTTGTTAGCAGTTGAAACATGTTTATATTTGTCAAACAAAACATTTGTTAAAATCATTTTATCACACTGTAAAAGGGGTAAGCCTCAACTGATAAGATACAGATAATGGTGAATTGCTTGAAATCGTACTAGTACCACATTCAATCTAATCAGTTGAATAGAAAGAACGAGCGAGTACTTTTTAATAGATTTGTTCTCTTAAGAACTTTTTCTTCGAAAAAAAAAAAAAAAACGATCGGAAAATCGGCGTTGTTTGTGTTGTAATTAATCGTTGCTAATTACATCTTATTAGGTAGTCCATCGGCTTTTCCAGAGTACTTGTGCTCACCGGTGTCGAATGGTAGTTCTCCATTATTTGAAGCAGCACCCAGCCTAACCGGTTCTTTATCAGGGAGTTCATCATCTTCTCCACCTTTACCGCTACCTCTCTGGTAAAACGTAAACGTCACTTAAAAGTTACATCAATTCTTTGTGTACCAAAGACTTCGCTCTTCTTTTTTCTG